TTGCACTGTGAATATGGAAGAAAATATCATTTATTATAGTCATATTATGTTTAAAAAAATGTTATAACTTCAGCTTTAGCTATTCGCAAGAAATTTAGCAGGAATTTAGTACCATATACAACAACACAAAATAACACCAACTGGATTTTCGTAAACAATCTACAAATGGAGATAAAAAATAACAACCTTTAAGGAGTTTTTGTTTATTTATTCCCTATCTAGACATTAAATCAAAAAACCATTCATGTGGGTTTGAAGAGCGATAATTCAGCATTCCAACGGATATGGTAACATCTAAATTGGAGAACATCCTGAAGAGTTATTAATGATCGGAAGGGTATTGTGTTTCACCAAGACAACGTCAAACCCCTACCTCTCTATTTACTAGACCTAGCTCCAAGTGACTACCACTTATTCCTGTCTTTGCAGAACTCCATGAATGGGGGAAAATTCCAAATAAAAGAGGACATTAAAAACCACTTGGATCAGTTTTTTAACAATAAACTCCAGACATTCTATGAACATGGCATTACGCAGCTAGTGGAAAAATAGGGAAAAGATAGGAAAAATTAAAATAAATTTTATCTCTGTAATAGAATGAGTTTTATTTCACCCTGAAAACCGAAAGGACTTATTTGCAAACGCTGGACATTATATAATTAAACCCTCTTATTCCAATTCCTGTCCCAAAAACAGTCAGATACCCGCTAAACATTTATGTAAAATTACATATTATTCATAATAACTTATTTACATATAGCTCATAACTTAAATAATTATTATCAGATTCGACTTTCTTTTTTTTCTCAACATAAACACAGAGTTTACTGCTAAGAAGAATGTAATGTGTTTTTTATTTTTTCTAAAAGTGTATATTTATATTTTACGATTGCAAATAGTTTTAAGTGTCTTGGCAAGCTTTCAAGAGTTTTGTATATAGATTTTTTTTATTATTTTGTATATAGTATGTATAACTAATATTTTCTTTACTGATTTATCTTTATCTTTACTTTTTATGTTTGTTTTTATTTGGCCAGATATAACATTTTAATTTTGTACCTTTTTGTTATTCTGAAGAGACTTCGTCCCAGAATAAAATTATTTTTTATTCTATTCTATATATTTATTACTCTCCGCAGCGTCGGAACTAGGAATGGCGAACTTCGTTTTATGCCCCTTTTTATCTCGTACTTTATTTCTTAATAAATATCATCATCACATAATATTAACTACCGTCATGGAGTGAATTCAGGCCAAAACAACTAAAAAGTATTAAAAAATATTATTTAATTAAGATGAAAAATAAAAGATTTTTTTTTTTTCTAGTTCCATCCTTCGGGTTTGGTGCCATTTTCTCATAATCTAACATGTGACTATGTTTGCAGGTTCTTGAAAATGGCTCCTGAAGCCGAAACGTTGGAATAAACATACATGTAATATATAAAAAAAACTGTGTTTTTTTGGTGACCTATGGCCTATAATAGACATATGTTAGATTATAAAAGATTTTTGTCATTTGTCACCCATGGCAAGTGCCTCTTTGCCACTCCATTGCTCTTTACCTCCTTACCATCATGTACGACTTTATATTTGTTTTGTTTTTATAATATATACCTTTTCAATGATATGAACAGGTTTCTTAAATTAATGCTGAGCACATCGATGGCACCGTAACCATTTCTAAACTAGGCCAAACTACACACATTTAAGAAATACGTAAATTAAGGAAATAGACTCCTACTGAGTTGAATTTCGAGAGAAAAATAAATATTGATAGATTGCAAACTGAATATAAATATATATATTAAATTGAGAGATAACAAGAATTGAATTATAATATAGCTACACCCAACGGACCTATCAGATCCAAAGGAATCTAAATATGATAACCGAAGCCATCTTGGTTCGGATATTCAAAATTAAAAATAAGAAAGCAACTAAACAGGTACACTTATCTACTTAGGACCCTTTTGAACCTATGATTCGGAGATATAGAGAACAGCCGCTTTCTCTTATAGAATAATGCTCAACAAAGAATTTAACAATTGATAAATTGAAGAATTTTGGTACCACTCTTTTTGTAATTAAAACATTTATACAACTTTTACATTGTATAATAATTGTTCTTGTATAACTTCTTGTAATAACTTGTATAATTGTTCTTATTTTGTTATTAATTAGTTGTATATAAATGGATTGAATTTTGTTATAAATCACAGACCATGTAGCACGTCTGATTTTCGGTTTTAAATCCAAAAATTCGTCGTAAACCAATGACTTGCTGTCCTATAGTATCCTTTAATAACACCCCAGTTATCCCTGTAGAACAAATCCGATACCTAGGACTCCAGCTGGACAAACGTCCACTTGGAATCCTCATACAAGACTGAAACGACAAGAAACTGCTCGACGTTTCCGCTTACTCCAACACTTACTGGACAAACGCTCTAAACTTTCAATGAATTACAAACGACTCATATACATGACTATAATAAGACCTATTTGTACTTATGGAGTTGAGCTGTGGGGCTCCACTAAACCATCAAATTCCTCTCGTATCCAATCTATACAATCCAAAATCCTTCGTAAAATCCTCAATGCTCCTTACTTTGTCACAAATAAAATAATCCATAAAGACCTCAATGTTCCATATGTTTCCGATTTGGCCAAATCCAGATACCTATCCTTCCATAATAAACTTCATAACCATCCGAATCCTCTTGTTTCTAACCTCGCTTCCTCTTCGATTCCTTATAACCCTCCGAGGCGTCTGAAAAGGAGATGGCCTCGTGATCTCCTCATGTAGACAAATTATTAGAGTGCTACCAATGGGTAGTTTCTCAACAAGCGTGTTTCATGTGATAATATTCCTATGTACACATTTACTTGATGTATTCATACTAATACAGTTGTAAATATCATAATAAAAGTTAAAAAACAAAATCCAAAAATGTTATTTTGTATTGTTTGTGATTTATATTATGTAATTTTGATAAATAAAAAGACTTTTTCTTCTTCTTCTATATAGAACAGCAAAAAAAAAAAATAACTACAAACTTCTCAGTCAAAAACTTTCAGATAAATAACTAAAACTCCTTGGTATGCCACAAACATTATTTTACATAAAGACCTGGTCTTGGTATTAAGCAAGAGTCTCGCAAGTTTTGAAGTTATTTATTAGCGTATTGCTATTTATTAAACACGTTACTTTAGATCTTAGAAAACACTGCATAATTGGTACGTTTAGGTGTTTTATTGACATAAACATAGTCAAGTCTAACTAAATTAATAAAATTAACTTGACAATAAGTTAAAGTTATTGTAAAGAATGGTAGTGATTTAACTCCATCTTATAATGGAAGAGTTGTAGAGTAAAGATAATCTATACAATGTCATCAATTATTTAAATCAAAATGTAGGGTGTTCATGACTTTCCTAACGATTTCAAACTTTTTTTTTTCCATTTTAGATGTGTTCTTTAAAAATAACATCTTTAACATAGGAGAAACTTAACTAAGCTCCGGATCGGAAGAATTAAATACAAATGTATATTGGTTCTAACAATTCTTTACATATAATAACTAAAATTGTCTAGAATTAGTAACCATTTGCCTTAATTTTTGTTCACAAAAATGTTTTTTTTTTTTATCATTCTTGGTCTTGCGATAATTATTTTTCTTTCAATAATCAAAGTGCAAGACCAAGACCGAATTTCGACAACACTACTCATGCAAGGTATGGCTACAATTAACATGCTCGATAACAAACTTAGGATGTTCAAAAGAAGCTGGACGAGGGATCTCCTCGCTTAGTAACGTTTAGTAGGATGCCGCTTGGTACTTCTCTTTAACACACTAATCATTGCCAAACAACTGTAACTCTTCTCGGCCGAGATCCCACTGGTTCTCAGTATTTCTGATAGATGGGGGTTGAAGAAATATAAAGTTAATAATAATATATTGGTTTTTATATTACAATGGATTGGAGGTGCTCAGTGGGTAGGACAATGATTTCCAAAGCTCGAATGAGTCTGGTTCGAATCCGGCTGATGGCAGGTAATTATTTATACTGTTTTATCAGCTGTGCATCAATCCTGGGATCGTGAGACCTTCCTTGAACACACCTAGCATTTATTAAGCGGATATTGTTAATTAAGTAATCACTTAAGGTGGAAAAACGTGACGGTTGAGCATGATCTCAGTCAAATCACCTCCTTCCACAACTGTTGACCAATAAACTATACTGTACTCTGCATAGTACTGAACCTAAGGCCATTCATGAGTTGTATTGGTAAAGATTTTGTGTTTTATTATAATTGGAATTGAAAATTTAGTTTTAGCATTTAAATTTGTCAATAATGATTAGGGTTCACTTCGGAAATAAGTCCCAGGTTCGAACCCCGGCTCATGGCAGAAAATTTATCTGTTTCATTGGCTTAGCTGGGTTATGGGACACTCCTGGGGCACACCCAGCCCCAATCAAGAGTGTTTACTCTTAATTGAATAATTAATTAAGGCGGAAAACCTGGCAGTTGAGCGTGATCTCGGTCAAATCACCTCCTTGCACAATCGTTGACCTAGAAACAGTGCTTTCTCTAAATAGTACTGAACCCAAGAGCCTTGTTGTAGTGGTAGTTTTTTTTTTTTTTAATTAATAATTCATTGTACGGACATATTGAACAAAATTAAAATTTAATATAAGTGAAATTACAGATACATAAAATAAACATTAACAACAACAATAAAAATAGTCAGATAAAACAGTCATATCCAAAGATCAATTTTTTCACTATGGCAGATACCCAATTATTGGTCAAAAGCAGGATGTTGCTCTAGATGATACATTTTAGAACATGAATTAGAAATTTGACGATGGAGCGCATTATTTTTAATTTTAAGGTAATTACAAATTTATTGTAACAACAAAATTCAAACATGTAATGTAACAATATTATAACTCAAAAAAATTGTTAGCTTTGCATCCACAAGATTATTGGGATTGCAGTTCTGAAGATGGGAATAAATATCTAGAAACGTCAACTAACTTGTTAATATGCAACGTTGATAATAGAAATATACTCAATTGTTACCAATTGGAAGTTATTATTGCCAAATAACTAAAAATAAATAGACAACTTCCCAGAAAAAAAAATTATTTTTTTTATTTTTTTTTGGAAAAAAGTGATTCATAGGTAAGTGAAAGTAAAAATATAATACAGTTTACTTTTTTAGACTTAAGCTTGTCCTCTCTCCATCCTTCATATCTTTATAAATTCTTCGTTCCGGACCAGATTAAACTACATTTTTCTTAAGTATTGCGCATAAATTAAGTATATATCTTAAGTAGGATTCAAAATACATTTTAAAAAACTTTATCACAAAAATGCTCTCGCTACACCCTGACTAGACTCTTGGATTCGGCTTTGCTCTCCGCCTTGGGCTTCCTCAACATCTTCGCCGCTAGCCTGTTGACGATGACGTAGGATACGGGGGCTGTGACGATCATGTCGAACACCGCCGACAGGACGATGAACTTGGAACGTCGGAAGTGGTCTGATGTCTCGTCGGTATCGTCACCAAACACCTTCCGACACATATCGATCACCTGGGGGCTCAGGGCTGCCTGGAAAAGAGAAAAGAAAATCGTCAACTATTGAAGTCAATTTATTTTATATTTTTTATACAGTAATAATATTATATATATATAAAGAAGAAGATGAAGAAAAAGTCTTTTTATTTATCAAAATTACAAATTATAAATTACAAAACAATATATAATAATATTTTTGGATTTAAAACCGAAAATCAGACGTGCTACATGGTGACCGTCAGGGAAGTCTGTGATTCATAACAAAACTATATTTCAATCTACACTGACAGGCAAAAAATTCCACCCACTTTTTCATGTTTTCATCTAAAAATATTTCTGCTTTGGATTGGCCTATTGTTTTTAATGAATAAATAGGTAATCTTTTTGTTTGTTTTCAATTGGAAATGTTAATATAGAGGACAATAACCCTTAATCCTTAATTCAATGAAATGATTCTAGATTCCAATGTTTACTTTCTATCGAACCAAATGTTTATTCAGTATCATTAGTTCAGTGTCGTTTCTTGGAGCACATTTCTTACTCTCCGGCTTTTAATTTTTTCAATATTAAGTTTAGCACAGAACTGGTTGTTGTTCGCCGAGGGTCTTTGACGGCCATTCGCTGTGTAGATGAGATTTTGGAATCTCATGTGCTGCCTATCCTCAAGGAAATCGGCGATCGTTCTATTCTAATGCACGATAATGCACACCCACATGTCGCCCGCATAGTGCAGACGTTCCTTCAACAGAACAATATTGAGGTTTTAGCCTGGCCAGAACGTTCTCCAGATTTGAACCCCACTGAGCATTTATGGGATAACCTCGGAAGACGAATAAGAGCGCGTGCAACACTTCCTGATACACTGCAGGACCTTGAAAGGACTCTTCGGGAGGAATGGGCTATCCTCTATGGGACATTTCCCGGTGGAAAGTATGCTGAGGCGTCTTCAAGAAGTAGTGAAGGCAAGAGGAGTAAACACGCGCTACTAAACGATGATGTTAATAATTTCTTTTAGGATAATAATGGTTCAATTTTCAAATTTTTTTTTTCTCTAATCTTTCTTACCCAATCACATTTTGATTATTAAAGGTAAAAAAAATTCCATAAATATTAAGTATTATCTACAAATACCATGTATTATATACAAATACAACTTTACAGAAATATTTTTAGATGACTTGGAAAAATCAAGTGGGTCGAATTTTTTGCCTGTCAGTGTATAAAGAAGAGGAAAAAGTATTTTTATTTATCAAAATTCCAAAATATAAATTACAAAACAATACATAATAATATTTTTGGATTTAAAACCGAAAATCAGACGTGCTACATAGTCTGTTGAGGAGTCTGTGTTTCATAACAAAATTATATTTCAATATATTTATATACAACTAATTAATAGAAAAATAATAACAATTATATTTACAATGTAAAAGTTATACAAATATTATAATTAAAAAAAATCTGGTGTATCCACTCACACGACTTTCCTACCTATTTCAAAAAAGTTTTCATATCTTTACATATATTCATGAAGAAACAAAAATAATTGAACTAGATACATTCTCCTTAATATTGATCAAACATAAGATTTGAGTAAAATTTATTTGATAAAATAAAGCAATGTAAACTGGCTTAAGATAGATCAGTGTAAAAATTTCAATACTCTCTAATATTGCTGATCAAAAACTTTTTGCCATAGCTTAGTATTGACAAACAATAATTTCTGTTAAAAGTAGAGGAAATAGTTAAGATTGTTTGATGCGGGCATCAGATTTTCTTACTTTCACTTAGTCATCTTTATTCTCTCATTCACTCCTTTCTGACACCAGGATATGAAACCGTAATCTTACATTGGAAATTGAATAGCTGTAACTTCATTAATAGTTGTCCAAAATGAACGATATGGCTTTTAAGGGAATTTTTATTATATTTCAAACGACAGGCTAAATGGCGTATTTGTGACAGACAGACCAATGGCTAAAAATATGTTTTTCAGACTCAGGTGGCTGTGAAACGTATAGATCCGTCGAAAACCGCATTTCGGAAATTTGACCCGATTGCAATACTTTCCTTACCTAGTATAGGCAGGAAAGTAAAAAGAGTGGTACCAAATTCTCCAATTTATTAATTGTTAAATAATTATCTAGTGAGCATTATTCCATAGGAAAAAACATAATTGCAGTAATTACGAATGCTATATGATCCCGAGATAAATTTCTAGACTTTAACCATTTAATTCTAAATTCAGAGAGTATCGGACAAGCAGCCAGTAAGTGATAGAGATCTTCTGTTTCGTTTGTATTACACATGTTACAATAATTATTGGTTTGCTTGAAGTGTTTATAATTTATGTTGAAAACATCAGCTCTAATTTTAATTATCCATCTGATCACCTTCAATGAGCTTTTGTCATAAATATAATTTACTGAAGTTAAATGAAGATGAAAAGTGATAGTTTTAAATTTCTGAACTTTAATTACATATTGATTATATATGTCTTTCTGAATTTGAGTTCTTAGTAAATATAAATTAGCTCTCCATAGTTTAACATCATCACAGTTAGATCGATTTAAGTTGAAATTTAATCCATTCAGTTCAATCAGATTAAGTCCAAACCATGCGATTTTTTTTTAATTATCTGTAGTGCTAATATTTTTGGATATTTAAGTGGTGGAAGATTCAAAATTATATATTATTGAATTATTGAATATATATATATATATATATATATATATATATATATATATATTTCAAAATTTGGTGTATTTAATAACACGACTTTCTTTATCGAATTAAGTGTTGTGCGTTAGCTAGTTTGTACAATGAGGATTTTATGTTATTTTTATCCTACTAAAGTGGAACAACGTATATGAAAATGAAAATATATTTTATTATTGTGGGACTGTTGTCCCTTTAGAACAAATTATAAATATAGATTGCATGTCTGTGTGGTCATAAATAAATTATATATTTACAATAAGAATTAATTAAATAAAAATATAGAAGAAGAGAGAGAAAAAGACAAGACAATTGTAAATATATATAAGAAAGGCATAGGAACCTAAAATAAACTAAATAAATTGATGTAGTCTCTGGGGGTACTTAGATAGTTCTCTTAAGTATATTTCGTAATCAGTCGGATTGAGAAAAGAGTAGGTGTTTGAAAGAGGAAACTAATTGTGCCTGTCGAATATCAGCAGGGATGGGATTCCAGAGAGAGGCGATTTGCCATATATGGGGTTATATATGAGTCTTTTAATTGACCGAATGACTAACTCCAATTTCAACATTTTTTATCATTAATTTTGGTGATATTTCTAGTGCAAAATATATAACTTTATTGATAGCTCTATATTTCAACACTGTAATCACCTGCCCTGGAATCAATTTATTCAATGTATGTGCAGATATTATAAATTTTCCAACTATAAATATCAATAAAATCGCTTTGCTCAAAATTGTTAAAATTGGAGTTAATCATTCGGTCAACTGATTCATTTTCATCTATGGGCTGTTCGCTAAAAAGAATATTACGATTTTTCTATAAAACTACTGGATCGCTTTTTAAGTTTCTTGGTTGGGGTTACGTTGGATCCCTATGTCATGAAATCAGTATTGCAATAAAACGATTTTTAAGTTAAAGTTAGTGTTTTGATAACATTTGGGGAAAAAAACAAAAAAAAAAACTTACTGATTATTGTATAAAATGTGTTAACTCTGTTCCTTTAAAAGTATCTAACAAATATGCGAAAGAACGACTGGGATGATTATTTGGTTTGATGATGGAAATTATTCGGTGAGATTCCGTGAGTTTTTTTAAATTATTATTATATTTTAACTATTCAAAATTTTTCGTTAGTTTAGTTTTAGTTGATTCATGTCATGAGTAAGTTCGTTGCACATTGCAAGACAAGTAAAAAAATATCGTTTTTGTGAATATAAATTAATGCAAAATAGTTACTAATGCTTCAACAGTTTAGTTACTATATGTAAAGAATTGGTCTAACTAATATAATTAATTACAGTAATATCTCTATAGTAACAGGCTAATAGGTAACATCAAGACTCTTGCGAGACTTGCACAAGACCAAGACTCGCATTTGGGCAACACTAGTGTAGAGGCATTCTGACAGATTGGTCCAAGACTCATGGCCAGCCCATCTTCACCTCTTTGCCTTTATATCATGAGAATCACATTTCTATATATGTAAGCAAATTGACGTTGATTATTGAAGTTTTATGTCATAATTAAGACAAAAAAAAACTTTAAAGGAAGAAATAGAATTAATCAACCTGACTTGATGCTAATTATAGACCACTAAATAACTTCTCGATAATTCGACCTTGATGTGTGGAATCGAAACAGCTGAAAGCTTAATCGATTCGAGAATGTTTTAAACTAATCCACCTGAGACTAAAGCTATCAACACGCTATTAATAAAACAAGTGGGTTGCAAACTTTGACGAGTTTAGAACCATTTGAAGTTTTCATAAACAGTTCATCTAACTTAAAATTAAACTAGCGAGGGTTCATTAAATTGTTAATGATAGTTATTATGATAATTGAAACCGAATGTGTCGCAATTTTTTTATAACATTTATAACGGTATAAAAATAAAAATCCATCTATTAAATATTATGCAGAAAAATACAACGGAATGAAAAGGCTTAAAAAGAAACTACCCATTTGTAGCACTCTAATAAAATTTCTAAATCACGTAATCACGAGATCATCTTCTTTTCAGACTCCTCGGAAGATTATTGGGATTATTAAGAGAATTTGGATAGTTCTGAAGTTTATAACAGAAGAAGTATTTACATTGGTCCAAATCTATAACATATGGAACATTAAAGTTGTTATAGATGATTTTATATGTGACCAAGTAAGGAGCATTGAGGATTGTACGAAGAATTTTGGATTGTAAGAGCTGTATACCAGAGGAATTTGATGGTTAATCTATCCAAATATGCCTTATTATAGTCATGTACATGTGTATATATTATATGTTATAATTAATTGAGAACTTAGAACG